TATTTTCTGTAATTCCTGATAACTCACTCGATCTTTTGAGATCATGACACTAGTCGTTCTGGTGTTTCTACGAAATAACTCTTTAACGTCATAGATCACGTTTCATGTTTTACATGTTACAAATCATGCTAGCCTGCGAACCGCAGACGTACCGTGTGGCACGAAATTTTTGCTGGAGTGTATTTTTGCGGATTGGTGAATTTTTTTGTGTTTTGCGGGAACTAATTCTTGCGATTAGGACAGATTAGTTTTTCTTGCTGGGTATTAGTTTTTGCGATTTTAAGAAAGTACCCAGTACCAAGTATTGATAATATTTTCGTTTTTTTTTTGAGTACAGTCGAACCTGTATTAAGCGGTCCCCCTCGGCGAATGGCTAAATGACCGCTTAATACAGTGGGTGACCGCCTAATGCAGGTTGCAAGAAATACAGTTCAAAGAATTCGATCTCCAGTGCTGATCAGATCAGACGTTTGACCTCAAATAGAAACATTCATTTCCGGCGTTTTAATGATTTGCGAAAATAAACAAGGAAATAAATTGTTGTACCTCGTGTGTTACAGTATTTGAAACAGTGTGAACAAGTCATTGACACTGTGTGACCGTTTAAAACCAGTTAAGACAACAGAAAAAGTCCCGTTGGGACTTCGCAAATGGTGACCGCGACCGCTTAATAGAGGTAGAAATTACATAGCCTGCGGCATGTGGCAGGCGCAAAAAGGGGAGGGAGAGGGGGAGGGAGAAAAGCACGAAAGAGGGGAAAGGGAAGGGAGCGCCTGCTATAAGAGCCGGTGTTTGATCCGCCCACCATTTTCTCAATTAATCCGATAATGTCACTATCAATACGTGACCAATCACAAGTACAGGGCTTCTCAGCATGGTCCGAACTTAATTAACTTTGTTTACCGAAATTGTCAAGTCGAGACGCTTTTTTCAAGTTATATCATAATCGAGCGAAATGAAACATTTTTACTTTACTTCTTGCTCCCGCAGCAAACACGACAACATAGACTACGAGCAGTCTCTCATTTTTTTACTGCTCGCAGTCAACGACAAACAATGATCAGTTTCGTGTGAATACACAAGACCTTTTATCTTACAACCTCATCAAGCACCGTGATGGTCACAAAGAACAGAATACTGGCCAGCCTGAGACGCGAATAATGAAAGTAAAGGAGAATTCTAAACAACTGTCAAAACGCTCAACGGATAGTTTTTACCAAAGCTTCAGCTCTCTCTTTGCAAACCATTTAAAACTCCATTTAAGACGGTACATGTTTTTGTGGAAAAGGAGGTCTTTTGAATATCGGTATTGCAGATGTCTAGGAAGAATCGCAATCGCTTTGAATCGCTGCTCGGTGTATGGACAAATCCAGTATACAAAACCTCCTGAGCATCTCAGCCTGCTAAACAAGCTGTTACAGTTGGTTTTAGTTCAGGTATTATCGTGAAGTTGCTACATGATAGGAGTAATTTTGATCTTCCAAAGCTTGTGCCAGTAGAACACATTTTCTGGAGGCCTTCGTCATGTTTGTCTCTCATACTAATACACGCCAGGATACACGCCAATAAGTTACTCATTACGGCTCAGCCAATAAAGAATTTGCGGACGCCAGCGTCTGCAGAAATGAATAAAAGGGGGTTCTTATAGCAGGCGTCCCTTCCCCCCTCACCCCTACCCCCCTCCCTTTTTCCCTTTTTCCCTATCCCCTACCCGTTTCGACGCCTGCTACGCAGTACATCAAGGGAAGTAATTTTCGGGACTTTGAAAACTGACCGCTTCATAGAGGGAGACCGCTTAATACAGGTTCGACTGTAGGTGCAATAGAATTACATATTTTCAAACAATACTACGGTGTGAGTACCCTGTGTAAAACCAGTATTTCATTGTATACCGTTTTGTTTCTAAACGAAAGAGACAAGTTGTAATTGAACAGACGCGATTTCTTAGAACTGTATTTTTGTGTAGCGAATTTAGAGGTACGGAAAAACTAGCAACAAAAAACGTGTAACTTGTCTTGCAAAATTGCTGTAACGAGTTGAGTAGCGATGTTGCGCGTTTTACCACGCATGTTCAAACCTATTAATTAACAACCTGATTTGCTGCAAGACGAGTTTGATGTGGGTGGTAAAACGCGCAACATCCCTATTCAATTCGTTTTCCAGCAGTGGTGCAAGACAAGTTGCACGTTTTTTGTCGCCCGGTTTTCCGTACCTTAAGTTAGAGAATATTTATTTACTCTGGAGGAAATTTTTGCGGGAAAAATATTTGCGGTAATTTTTATTTGCGGGAACTTATTTTTGCGGATAGCTGAAAAAATCGCAAAAATTAGGACCCGCAAAAATTTCGTGCCACACGGGTGTTTCCGGTAGTGAAACTAGAAACTAGAGCCGAAAACACCGGATGCTTTCCCAAGCTAAGATCATGCCTGAAAAAAAAGCGAAAAGACAGAAAAATACTCAGAATACATGACATTCATAGTTGTGTTATCTGTCTTAGAATTTGTGCTTGGTAACGTACAAATGGAATGTTTAATCGCGCACCATTAAAATCACTGAGAATTTAGCATTGCTTTTGAGCGTTACTGTAGTGAAATTGTTCTTTAGCATGAAAACTTTGGTTGACAAGTACGCTTGTGTACATTTTGGAAAACTGCCCTGAAAAATGGGTAAATACAGTAGATCTATCACACACGCAACCGAAACTATTCATGATGTGTTGACGATACGGTATTGCCTCTTCGCCTCCATGTATGGAGAACGGTTCTCCAATGAGTTGACAGATGGACGCACGCGCCCAGGCGGGGCTGGGAGGGGGAGGGGTTATAGGATCTTCAATCTTAAAAAAGTATCCAATTTCACTATTTAGCGTCTTCAACAGGGTTGCAATTTTAGTGTATTTTGCCTTAAACAGGGTCAGAATCAAAGAGTTTCAGCAGCTAGAACAGCCCCAACAAAACTTCCTTTAAATATCTCCCCCCCCCGGCAGAAGTTTCCGCGTTAAAAACACATCTTCGTTTCCTTATTAAGCCTCCTGATTTTTGTATATATATATCGTATAAAATAGAGAGAAATTCCAAACGAGAAAAAGAATTCATGAAAAGGTACCGGTGTCGCACCTGTGACGTTTGTTTCCCTGTGACAAATGTTCAAAAACACAAACAAACAAACAAACAAACAACAACTCTCTCTCTCTGGCCTGGGTTCAATTACACGCAGTGGAATATTCGAGCTAACAGTCACCATCTCTCGTGAGCCAGCATGAAATTGATGAAGTAAGAGCAGCGGATCTCACGCGGAATAAGAATGTTTCAATTCTTAAGATTTGCAACTCAAGAGAGGTCCACAGGTAAGACTAGGTACTTGGCCCGGGGGTACAGTAGAAAATTTTAGACGGGGAAACTCCACCCCGAGGTCCAACCCCTTACCCTGGCCTTTTATATACCATTTTTGATAGCCTGTGTACAGACCCCCCCCCCCTCCTCCCCTCAGGAAAAATCGGAGAAGAAAGAACCTTTCACTAAAGTTTGCTTTCTCTTTTCTTTGAAATCCCTGGATCTGAAAAGCTACTGTGTGTATTTGTCCGTGAATGTGATGATTTGACTGGTATGTTTTGACGACAGACCCTAAAGCCAACCCAAATCCCTTATTTACATGATGATGGGTGATCTACGAGTAACAGCCAATCAAATCCTTTTCCACACATTCCGGGAATAATCACGTGGCCCCCATACACGATTATATAATTAGCAAAGGTGAATCACAGACGCCCCTTCTTCGATTTTTCCTGGGGGGATGGGGGGTCTGTACACAGGCTACATTTTTGAGAGAAATAGTACTCTTTCGTATTCCTGGTTTG